GACAAATAGGGAGAAATGTTGTGGAATAATATTTTTGTATACTGTGAAGACGTTTCTTTGCCAAGGTGGCTTCTGATTGGTTTAATAAAGAGCTTAATGGCCGGTAGCTAGGCAGGAGAGGATAGGCTAGACTTCTGGGAAAAGAGTGGAACTTTCGAGGAATCAGAGCTGTACAGATTTTGTCAGCCAGACACAGAGGGAGACCTACGTACAGAATGGAGGAGAGGTAAAGAGCCACATGGCAGAATATAGATTAATAGAAAGAGATTAATTTAAGTTATAGGAGCTATGTTGGAAGAAGCCTAAGCTAAGACCAAACTTCCATAATTAATAATAAGCTTCTGTGTCATTATTGGGGGTTGGAAGCCCAAAGAAAGACTGATAAGAAATATTGCTGTATTGTTTTCATTAAAAACTAAAATAAATGAACCATTTAGAACTGATAAATATTTGAATTTTTTTACATAATGCAAATTTTATAGAATAAAAAACTTTTGTTTTATAATATAACATGTGAGTCAAACTGCATTACAGGAAGTTCTAAGTTAAGGCTTTATGGTCCTTTGGTAGTGACACAGCATTCTCTTTTAATAGCCCATCAAAATTTTGAGAGGTAAATTTATGTTTATATTTCCTTTTTAGTTGAATTGGGTAGTTTTCTTTTACTTAAAGTTAGCTTTGGGGTCAGGGCAGAAGAATAGTCAGATACAATGCTACTTCAAAAAACAAATTAAGGAGATTTTTTTCTGTCAGTATCCTTGCTGCTTTAGAGACAGGAGGGTAGCTCAGATGTAAATGGAAGAATACCTTAGGCCGAAAAGAAGACTTCAGAAAATGGAGAAAAGTAACCAGAGAACCTTTGATCCAGAAAGTCAGGAAAATGAGAAAATACTCAATTGTAACATAGAATCAGTTTTTGAGAACCCAACTATACAAGCTACAGCATGGCTGTACCACAGATGGCTTACCTGTGCCCCACAGGTGGTGATGATACCCGAGAGGGTGGCTGCACTCAGCGAGGGTTGGTGTATTGAGAAAGAGCAGCTTGAGGTCACAGACAGTGGAAGTATCTCCACGAGGTAAAAAATACCTCAGACAGTATAGCAGTACCTCAGAGAAGGTGGCAACATCTCTACGAGTGACTGGACTTCACTCTTAGAAGGTAGCTTAGAGCAGGTGGCTGCACCTCAGACATATCGTCTCTGTGCAGTCTAGATTCTACATAACCTGCCACAAAGACATTCCAAGAACTCAAATTCAACACAGCAGAAATGTACTAAAAAAGATAACAAGTTATATTTGATGGAAAATTAGTGAATAGAAGTGAATCTTCAATTTCTTTATTTACGTACTTTAGAAGCAGAAATTAAGAAGTTTATTTCCTACTGAATTTACTATAGGATAAGATACAATTGTGTAGTATTATAATACGTATCTGATATAAGAAATCAAAAATGACTTGATAACTAAGAGACTAAACTATAGACACCATGCTTTGGTGTGGGAGGTCCTTCTATGTGTTGTTTTTATTGGTTAATGATTAAATAACTTGCTTGTCCTATATTCATGGGAGGAGGAAAGCAGAGTTAGAGAGAAGCCATGGAGCTTCTGGAGACAGATGCTGGGAACTGTACCCAGTAAGTCACAGTCACATGGCAATATACAGATTAACAGAAATGGGTTAAATTAATATAAGATTTAGCCAATAAGAAGCTAGAATTAATGGGCCAAGCAGCGTTTTAAATAATATAGTTTCTGTGTGTTTATTTCAGGTCTAAGCTAGCCGGGCTGCTGGAAACCAACAAGCGACCTCCCTCTAACAGTGCTTCACTGAAATATAAATGGATTTGAAAAGTTCATAATCCATGATACCAGGGAATAAAAATTGGCAGAGCTTCTCAGCTGGCAGAGAGATGGGAAAAGAGGAACTATGTAGATTAATGGGCTTTGTACTTAAACTCTTTAAATGGATGACTTCTTGCTTCTCCATCACCAAAAGAAAGGGAAACTTTCAAATCTCCCACAAGGGGACACTCTTGTCGTGGGAACCAATATACTTTAATTCTTTATCCAGATTATTCAATTCTGTGCAATAACCCAAACCTGCAAAAATAGGGAACAAACCCTACCCCCAAAGATGAAAGTGTTAATAGAGTTCTCATTACCTGATAATCCTTCTGGGGAGCCTGCTTTGGGATTTGTATGTGTTTCTGTATTTGTGTGTGTGTGTGTGTGTGTGTGTGTGTGTGTGTGTGTGTGTGTGTG